CATCTGGTGAGATCGAAAAACGAATCTCTTCTTCATGTACTTTCATTCGAAATGAAGGTCTCTCTAACAAAATCATCCTGCTTATGTCTATTAATCAAGAACAGGCTTGGCAGATCGTCAGTAGAATATTTCCTTATAAGCTTTTTGTAAAGTAAGTCAAGAGAGAAAGTTGATTCCTTAGTCTCTCCAGGATTGCAAGTTGAGCTGTCTCTGGGCACCCGAGTTGATAGCAGGACGGTCAATGGAGTTCTCTCAAGCTAATAGTTTGCTAGGAAATGTAAAAACACTGATTTCAGCGTCTTTGTCTGGTTAGGAAGTGGTGTTGCCCTGACGATTCGTGTCTCTTCTTCAGCCCCTAAAAGGCAACCCAGTGATCAGGATCTGAAAGGCTTCTCTGACTTCAAAGAGCCTTGTTCAGAAGAACATAGATGTATAGAAAATTCACCAAAAAGTTTTACACTTTAATTTGTTCATGTTTTCTAAAGTAGTATTCTGGAATTCACAAATTCTCTCCGACCCACTTATTAGGCCTGATAAGATAGGATAATCGTTTACATAGTCAAGTAAAAGGACAAGCAGCGTGAAAATAAGACTGAATTAAAAATTAACGTATAAATTTTTGATGTGCGTAGGAGAAAAGTATCGAAAGGTCCGGTGTTTAGAAGGGGCCAAATGAAAGCCAAAATACTCCGAGTTAATCATAATGTAGACTAGTTTTCCTAGATTCAGGTGCTAATGTCAGCTCGAGTCTATACGATACAATATTCCTCGTTATATCAGTCTCCTTCTAGCTCATAATCGTCTTTGCAAGCGGAATTTCCACTTATGCAGAGTTACATGCCGCTTGCAGTGCAGAGCCTTGAGCAGACGTCAGAAGGAGAGTGTTGAGTTCACTCAATTCTTTACAGAACACTGTCTGACCTTTCAGTACCGGCTTTGGGTTCTACCGATAACTGTCCAACCTGGTGATTATCTCTTTGAAAAGGGCCGAACTATCTAATTAGGTACCACCGTGGTTGGTTCAGAGCCTTCTAGTCTGACTTGAACCGATATGCATTTGACCAAATATCGGAAAGACAGACAGTCGAATGAAAGCGAAAGAAGATGATAAGCGGGAGAGAGATGTGTGTGATGATGGTCCAGGCGATGCCAGTGTAGTAGGAGATGTGAATCACATGATTGTCGGCACGTTTAACCTCGAATGTTTTAACAATCCAAAGAGCCAAATTGAGAATCAGCAGAAAAGTGATCAAAGTGCGGCCCGGCTTGGTGCGGACATGGGTAAGCGTGCCTGCACAGCGACGAGATGCTTCCAAAATGAAGAATACCTAGGCATTAAAGGGAAAATAGTTTTGTTTAATTATAATCAGCAAAAAATTATACTACCTGCCAATCAATTAAGTTGTTTATATATTTGCTATTCCCCATATGAAAATATCAAGTTTTCGTACAAACCTCATGTTTGAGGCAGCATTGTGGCAATACCCGCTTCTTCAGCGCCCAGATGCTAGGCTACTTTCAATCCGTTCATTAAGTTTTAATAAAATATGAATCAATGGTGAATTATTTCCCAGACTTGAGTGCCGTTTCTTCCCTACCTAATCTTCTTTAACTCCTCCGGGCGTGCATATGTGAATTAGGATAGTTTGATTGCCTCATTCCGTACCCATTGGGTCTGGTGTATACAATAAAAGCATTGCAAAAAATTCTTATTAAATTTTATAGTCAGTGAATATTTGAAGAGGATCTTAGAGAACTCATAGAATTGAAACGGAGGTCGGTTCCAAAGTAACTAGGGCGAAACCAAGACTCATCTATATGGAAGCGATGAATGCGCTCGACTGTTACCCGATGCACAGGCAAGAGCTCGGTTTGAGATGGTAATCGCCTGAACTGAAAGCCTACGGCATGGTCCCTCTGTTAGCTGATCGTGCATTCAAGTGTGAAGCCTAAACCTACTGCAGCCTTGCATCCAAGTCAATGTGTGAAAAGTTGCCTTCATGTAAGTCAATCCAAAGTCATGCCAAAACACACCCTCTTCGATAAGTATTGGCTTGCGTTAAAATGGAAGCAAAACTCCGTGGCAGTGATCATAAGTTATTATGTAATAATGAATAAAAGTTGTTAGATTCACGCTTAGTTAA